GCATATAATCAATGCTTAATTCCGAAAAGCGGTAAATCCACAGCATAAAAATTGATGCGGATTTTACCGCCATTCTTTTCGCCGGGAACTGTATATTTGTAATATAATAAAAAAAAGATCAGCTATAGTTTGAAATTTTAGTCTAGACTGAAAAATAAATCTAAATCTATAAAATCTACCCAATTTACGCTCTAGACTAATTTATTAAGGTATATTATTTTAGCCAGTAATTTAGAGATGCCAGAACAAATATTAGCACGAATTTCAATTTTCAGACCGGAATTCTAGTCATTCTTACAGTTTTACAATTATTTTTTGGCCTTCATATATCAATTTATATAAAATTCATTGACATAATCTTAGCATGTCGCATTGGTACATTCATCTTCATGTAATATTTGGTTCACTTCTAGTGAACAATAATTACTGAGAAGAGAATAATCGGAGTTCCAGTGAAGATCATTTCAAAATGATTTCAGACGAAACCTTTGTATCAATATCTGCCACACTTATTTTTACTTCAGTTGTAAGAATATTCTCTTCAAAAAGTTCACTTTGCAATACTTTTCATTTTCCAAGAGTAGCTGTATTATCGGAATTAGTAAGGTTAATAGTTTCACTCTTATTTAAATTGTTACAGAATAAAGCTGCGTAACTTGTATATATCATTTATATTTAATCACATCACCTGGTCATCCGGATCAAGAAAATCGTGACCCTAACCTGACAGTTTTAAGAACTAGGATTCGTGACATAAAATGATAGTTCCTGACTCGAATTTTTCTTGAGTTGAGTCAAATGACCCGGGTCAGCTCAGAGCACTAAATACACGTATTCAAACGTGCAAACGTGAAAAGGTAAATTGTAGATATTGTAAATGAATGAAATCTCCACCTCGGGTTTAGAAAACTGCAAAACCACGAAAATCCAGTAGAGTATCCAACCCTTCGAAAGCATCAGAGGGCAAAGTATTGAAACTCAATTCGCTTGATTACATTTCTAGCGTCATATTTCTATTAACTTCTCTATCACATATTGATTAAAAAGTCAAAAATCGCTTGTGAAGCTGCATAATTTCTTGAACTTTTAAATTAATAAACTGACTTTTTAAAAAAACTATTGTCCACTTCAAGTGAATCATCTTATTGACAAGGTTATAATTTTTTTAATTTTTTATTTTTAGGTAGAAAAACAATTTTTAAATGAATGATTGACATATTACAATTCTTTTGATCTTCAGTACAATAAATTTTTATTGTACCTCCAGTAAAAGGAACAATGCAGTATATCCCAACTTTATTTCAATATAAATAAAAGGTTTTTTTTTGTTTGTTTTCATAAGTTATAAATTATGTTCCCGGTTACCAAGGATACTACTGTCAGCATTGTTACAGAAGCAGCATTTCTGGTATCGAAAGTGTTTTTACATCATGAACAGAATCTTTATTCGCGACATTTTTTAAATGAATGATTAATTATTAAATTAAACTCGAAATTTTAAGTGAATACCACATTTGTACTAATTATAATATATTGAATTTACAGATTAATAAATATTTCTAGAAACATCTAAAATTTTTTGATCAGCATTTCTATACCATAAAAGGAATGGTTATTTCTGGTAAAATCCCTGACTGTACCAGACCTTCTTGACCCTGTACACAAAATATATATGATCGTCATTCAAGAAAGTAGCACCAGGAGGGTCAAGAAGGTAATTTTTGCATCACGGATATATTTTATATATTTAACAAAGTTATGGTTTATTTTAAAATAAAAAATCAGTAAAAATTTATTGTTAAATAGGCATTTTAAATAATATATTTTTCAAGACCAACTTTTGAAACCAACAAACTATATTTATAAACAGTAAATTTGTTATAACAATATAACCTTAAAAAGTATCTAATAACATATAATACAAATACTTACAAAAAAAATAAAAAATATTCTAAAAGCCATAACAGAGATTATTTTTTAAGCTTTTTAAGAGAATGTAACCAATTTAATAAATAATTGAATGGACAAAGACAGGAGCCAGTATGATCATCTTGGTCATCTTGATATTCCAAATTATCTTGTGCGTCAGTTTGACGAGACTCTATAAGATAAATATAATAAATCAATATAAGTGGTTCCCAAAAAAGCAAATTATGCGAGAATAATTTACCTGAATAAGGAAAAGAATTTTGCAACTTGGACCTTCTGTTAGTATTAATGGTTCTAGGAATTTCATCAAATTCCAATAATCTACTATGATAAACAGCTTCAGGATGACTAACATAAAGAAGAGGAGTAGGAGTGAAAGTAGAAGAGTTTCTAGAAATCTCATCACAAGATTTACACTGAACATTAATTTCCGATAATTTATCGTTTTGTAAATCATTCCACCATTGAGTTAATAATTCATTTAATTCTTTAGCAGAAGGTCTGTTAATAGGCATCGTTTCCCAACACCTTTTAATTACTTCTGCCAATAATCTAGGAGTATGCTCCGGAATTTCTGGTCTTGTCCCTCGACATATTTCATCGGCCAACTCACTATCATGAGCAACATTATTAAAAGGAGGGAATCCTGAAATAATCTCATTCATCATTATACCAAAAGCATAAACATCACTTGCTTTGGAAAATCTTTTGGAGTACAACACTTCTGGTGCTAAATAAGGTAATACCCCATAAATTTCTTCTTTATCCCTTAATAATGAAGTAAATTTAATCGTTGGTTTTTTAATACCAACATCAGTAATAATGGTTTCTCCTGTTCCCGTCCTTAATATATTTCCCACATGAAGGTTATAATGTATGAAACCTAATTCATGCATACACTCTAATCCTCGTGTTATGCTTGAAAGTATATTCAACTTTCCATACCAATTCATTATGTTGAATCTTCCATTCAGGTATGTTCTAATACTTCCTTGAGCCGAATATTCCATCACGATCATATAATCATCTGTTTCTGGATATTGTGTAATTCCGTAATACTGAATGATGTTACTGTTATCATGTAACTGTAAATGTACCTTTACAATCTAAATAATAATAAGAATAAGAGTAAGAAGAGACGGTTAATAAATGTGAAACGATAAAGCATTGTATTCGATATTCAAAGATTGTAGATGGCATACTTGATTGAGAAACTCCATAGTGATAAACTGAGAATTATGTAATCGTTTAAGTGCAACCATATCGGTTCCATTTCGTTGCCATTGTTCGAGCTTTTTATCCCACCCTAAAATATATCCATCCAACCAATAAGCAGAATATACCGTACCAAAACCTCCTTTCGACACGTATTTTACATCTCTAAACTTATTATAGGGTATCCATTCCAACACATATTTACTACTCCTTGCCGATAATTGAGTATCTCTTAGTATCTTATTTAAATTTTCGTTTCCACTTGACCAATTATCAAATTGAGAACGAAAATGTACCGAGCTACATGATCGACACCAATTTTCTTCTCCAGAATTCGCTTGACCACACTCTGTACATTGTCCAAATTTTTCTAGTAATTCTTTTTCAGATGTTGAATTTATTTCAAATGTTACGGCTGATATTTGTGCTAATGATGCCCTTTCTTTTAAATAATGTGAAGAAGGATATTCTTCTAGTAATTTTGATGACGTTATTGACACGGCCTCAGAATTACCACCAACCAAATAATCATCATGATGTTTATCTTCATCTGTTGAACGTGACGTTGTTCCTGATAATTCAGTCGAATCTAAATGCGTCGTTGCTTCTACTATCTCTTCTTCTAAAGGTTTTATTTCTTTCTTTATTGTGGTCGTAACATCGAATACTTGAGTTTCTGACATTGTGATTTATCTATAAAATAATTTAATATTTTTAATTTAGAATTATGGTAAAGTAATAATAATTTAATAATTACCTAAATAATTATACTCAAATTCTTTTAATGATTAAAAGAAATTATTCTTTATATCTTTTCGATAATTTTTAAAAACTGGGAAAAAAAAGGTTTGATACTGTGGCACCAATAGTGATTGAAAATCAAAAATTGGACTAGATACGATCAATTTTAATACCATTGACCTGATAACTTTGGCTAGTTAAAATTAACTCAATAATGTGAGATGGACAATTCAAAAAAAAAAAAAAAAAATTTTGAGGATGAAAATAAAAAAACGAAAACGAAATATTTAATAAACCCACACTTTATATGCATTTTTTTTCTTTGGTTTTTATAAGTCTAAATAAGAAAAAAGATGTTCTATATAGTAATTTATTATTTAGGGAATTTCTAGGGCGTTTCTTTTTGTCGTAATCTCATGATTATAACTTTTGGCGTAGTTCTGTAGATGTCTATAATGGGTTCATTATTAATGAAAGTTTTTATATTTTGACAATTTCCGATTTTAAGTTGTACAATGCTGTGCTTAACTTTACTTTTATATTTGTCATGTAACATGTCATACCAAATATAACGTATCGTGATGGTGGTGTGTTATATTTTTAGGTCATCGTCTTACAAATTATTTAAATTAGGTATTTTAAATGATGCCGTGTGACAATATCAAAGTTGCTGCGCCATAAATTCGAGATCAAACAAAATTATTTAGGGTTCGAAAACCATAAACGTTTCATCATAAGGACTAATGTGGGGAACAATAAATACTAATGCTGACATTATAGACGGTTAATAACAATATCCGAACGATAACGTAATCATTACATAATAATTTACATGGGTTTTTTTAATAAAGAACTCGAGCACCTCCGAGCTAAGCGTGCGCACCGACCAATCCGTCGCATAATATGGCAGATCATCAAATTATTCCTCGGTACTACGTAATTAAAAAAACTCCTGCCAACTTTTATTTTAATGTATAATTATCTAACTTAATAAATAAGGCACGAATGTTTGAGAAAATATAACATAGTCATTTAACTTGTGAGATTTGTCGTATAGTCGCGCATTGAAACTTTTTAAAAAAAAAATGTGTGTATTAAAAGTTCGTTTGTTTTTGGGGAGGGTGGTTTTTTTTGTCAAAGTTTGGATTCTAACCTTAATGTCTTTTAAGTTTATTACGCGAATCTACTAATAAGTTTTTGAAAATATAATGACACTAATTCATTTTGTATATATTCTATGTAAACAAACCAACTTGCTTAAATATATCAAATATATCATATTTCATCATCATTTTCAGTAATGTAATATTTGGAGTTTAAATTTAAATAATTAACTAAATATTTGGATCTATATATATTCTATCCAATGATATGTATGTATATTCCTGACCTGAAAAAATTGATGATGTCTATAATAAATTAAGTTTAGATGTAAATAATTCCGATGATAAGGATCACACCTATGATAAGCACTTTTATTAGAAAGAACTTTACAAAAAAGTTTTTTAATTAATATTAAATCTGGATTATTTTACTAAAAAAATTTCAAATTTGCAAATAAAGTAAATTTTTTTTTGTAGCTTCCTTCATTTCTACTGCAAACTGCAAAGTGATTGTATTATTCACAATTTATATATAATCAAAATTTAATATAATAATATAATGATCTTTTGAGTTAAATCATTTATTTGAAAAAATTTATAAGTGTAGCTTATATAATTTTATATAAGTTGCTTCGAATAATATATTTTATAAACGGTAGAAAAAATCTGAGAATTCTTAAATTCTAAACAATTAGAAAGGGAAATTCAAAGAATTTTGGAAAAGAAAAAAATCAGCTATTAAGACACTTCACATAATTTAACTCCAATATTTTTAGTAAAATTAGTATTGAAATTTTTTACCAATTTCATTTGAATTTTATTATTATAAATTTGAATATAAAACTAAACAAATTGATTTTATATATTAAGAGCGTTATTCATTTATAAATAAAATTATCCAGCTTTAAAATACTAAAACTTTTATTTTACAAGATATAAAAAAATTAATCCATAATAATAATAGTATAAATAATAGAGAATAAATGTTATAGTTTCAAATCTTTAGTGTATTAGAAATTTTTTAAGTCTTAAGTATTTAATTTTACTTAAATTTTAGATATGTGATTTATTATGTAATATTGATTTGTCTAATAAAATATGTGCTTATATGAAAATTTATAAGTGGAATTTTTTTGTGACTTTCATGTGATATTATGATATCATAATTATTGTATTTATAAAAAAAATTAAAGTTGCAAAATAAAGGCTATATTTACCTACTTTATATCATATATAATTAATATATCAATAAATTGATGATTTGATATATTATTGGAACTTTGCAATAGAAAAAGAAAAAACTCTAAAAAAAAATTAAAATTTTACTTTATAAGCTAATTATGATTTTTTTAGTCAGATTTAACATTAATTTAAAAAAATTTTTTTAGAGTTTTCTCTCTTTCTATTGTAAAACTCCTATATACTTATATGATAATTTAAATTCATAAGATAATTTTTAATTGAATAGAAATAATATTGTAATTGTTATAATCCTTATTATAACATTTTTGAATTTGATATCTTCAATATAACTTGTACTTTCTTGATCATTTTTTACTACTTATCATCAAAAGAATTTGTTTTACAAATTAATATTTAATTGCTAAGAATTCATTTCATATATTTTTAGCAATAATTTATCTTATAATATTATTGTTATATAAATATCTTTCTGTTATTAAATTATATTTCTTATTATAAAACTTTTTTATATTATTAATTTTTCTTATATTATTATTATTTTTCTTGTAAACTTTCTTGTACTATAATTTTCTTCTAATAATATTCTTTCTTGAGTTACTATAATTCTTTTTGTAAATATTTCTTATATTATTATTACTTCTTCTTAATTATTTCTTTATTATTATTATTTCTTTTTATATTCTTTTTTATATCAATATTATTCTTTTTGCAATATTTTCTTATATTTAAAGATGGGTATTATAAATAAAAAAAAATGTCACAATTGAGTTACAACTTGTGACATAATTAAATTATCTTCTAGCATAATTAAGTTGCTCAATTGAAATTTGAAAATAATTATGGGAACCATCTTTACTTATATTATTATTTTTCATTTTCATAACTTTAATAATATAACTTTACTTTATTTTTTATATAATTTCATTAATATTTTTCTACTTTACATTTTTTAACAAATGAAATAATTTTATTATTTCATATTACTTCATGATTTCATCATTTAATAACTTGTCACTTTAAATAAAAATCTCTTTATTTATTTATGTTTTAAAGTTTATTTATTAATTTTATTTTCAAAGGTAAAAGGAATTTGAAGAAGTGATTTTTTTTGATTTAAAATAAAAGGATGTCATCTCATTAAAATTATGAGAGTGAGTATTTATAAAATTTTATATAGTAACACATAATCTATATTCTATTTTTTAATTATTCTTTTTACTATAATTTTCTATTTAATTATTATTTTTCCATAAGAAATTAATTAAGAAAATAAATTAAAATTAATTACAAATTTTCAAAAGATGGATTAGATATATTAAATAAACTTTTTGAGACTATTCAACATGTTATGTAACCTACATATGACATACATAATATTTATATAATAATTTCTTATTTCTATTTCTTCTTCTTCTTGTTAGAATATTTTTTTAACTTCCTTTAATAACTTGTACTAATTATTCTAATCCTTATGATTTCTTTCTATAATATTTTCTTTTATTATATTATGTGTTACTTTATAATATCATATGTTACCTTTATATTATACAAGTTTTTATGTGATTTAGTTTATTATTTATAACTGTTATGCCTTTTATGTAACTTTTTTGTTACTTTTTCAATTATTTTTTAAGTTTTTTTTAAAACGCTTTGTTTAGTTCATTAATTATCTAATTTCGTTCAATTCTTTGATTATTTATTCTCTTTTGGTAACTAATTTATTTAAATTATTTATTTCTGAAATTTATTTGTCTTATATAATCTTTTTTTGCAATTTATAGTTTATCTATATATTCTTCTTCTTTAATAAAATAATTATTTTTTCTTTTATCATATGATTTTATTTATGATTTTCATTACTTTTTGTTGATTATTATCATATATATTGTTATATTAAAATTATGAAATTGTTGATTCTACAATGTGATATATTTATAATCAGCTTTTAGATGATTTACATTATAGTAAATCATATTACAGATTATAATACATTTACTATATTTTACGATTAAATTTGCTAAAAAATCTTTCCAAATAATTATTATTAATTCAGTATTAATTAATTAAAATTTATATAAATTAATCTTATATTCAGAATATTGCATATTTAATATCATAAAATTTATAATAAAATTATTATAAAAAAGTAATTTATTATGAACAATTTTTTTTTTTTTTTGATGTGACTCTGCCAACTATTTTATTAAGATTTATAGATTTTTCCAAAGAAAATAAAAGAAATTACAAGTAATGAAAAACAAAACAAAATAAAAACTATTTAATAATCTAGATTAAATGTTAGCTACCTTTTGATAATAGAATATATAAACATACCTATCTGTCTAGGTTGACCTATCATCATCAATTCCCTTTTTAGACCAAAGAGACTAGCCCAATGACTACTAAAATCATCAAGGAAAGAAAAAGAACATGTTAAAACTGATTTAAAAATCTGACTATTTATATCCATATGTAAGGACAAGTTGAATCCATAACTTCCAAGTGTTAGTCAAAGCTATGCTATTATCGTAAGACAAATGTTTGCATTTCTTCTTCATGATTTTCATGTTAGAAGTGATATGTTTTGATAATTCTTTGGCATTCATAAGAGAGCAGCGATATGACTAAATTTCATT